AATCGTATTTATTTAATAAACAAGTTACCGTAATAATATATATATATATATATATATATAATATATATATAATAATATATAATATATATATATATATATATATATTATATTATATTATATATATGGTTACCTATTTTGAGGAATAAACATTGTTGCACGTTAGTGCTTTTTCGTCTTTCTCCATGCTTTTTGTGCGAACTGCAGTATACGAGCGAGCTTCACAGTGATCCTGTGTCGGATTTCGCATGTGTTCAGCCGCTGTCCCTTAGAGAACTGTCGAGCACTGGTGCACTGGTGGTGTTGATAACGTGGCACGGTTCTTTTCCCTGGAACTCTCCTTTTCAAATGCTCTTTAGAAGCGTGCCGAACTTTAAGGACCGTAGGCGCGCACATGGGGGGGGGGGCGCCTCCTTTTGGTTACCTAAGATGAGGGGGGTGCAGATTCAGCTCTGTAGTGCACTAGAAGCGAAAGGTGAGATAGTTGATGGTTCAGGCTTGGATGTAAGAACAGTGCGAAAACGCAACTAAAAGCAGCGCAGTCGCCATGCTGTGCCATGCAACTATTTCCTCTGCCTGATGTATGTGAGTGTTCATTCTATTATTTTTACTTTCGAGTTCAGCGCTATGTCATCCCTTCTTCCACCTTTGTCTATTTTCGTGTTCGTTTTACATCCAAGCAGCTCCATAAATTGACTTAGCCCCCCCCCCCCCCCATCCCTCCGAAGGGGGACCCTGCGCACGCCTATGCTACAGACGGATTGAGTATACCCCAGCCGCATAGCTCTGCTCCTCTACTCTCTACACCGAGCCCCTGCTCCAGTTATCCCCAAGAAAATTTCCATTATTGAAAAAATGAAATAATGAAGTATCTAAACAGTATTCGGCAAATACATGGCAGTTTAGTGAACATTCACAGATATAAATGTAATCGAAGACATAAACACCATAGATACTCAAAGTCGACAATTATACAATAGTTAAAATAAGCAGTACCTACCCTCAACCTTCTTGAGCTAACTTGAAGTGCGCTAACCCGATGCGGACCACTAAAACATGATTTAATGTAAAACAAGTACTTTTTTTGAACAAAAGTAGGTTTCTGGACCGCTATTTTAACATTAGGCGTCGGCTTAATTGCTTTTAGTGCCCCTTTAATAACACTTTGTCTTCATTAGTAAAGGTAAAATCAGGTGTCCGCGAGGCACTGTGTTAAGGCCAATCACATTCGTAGTTTAGGTCAATGAACTAGATAATCAATTGTCATTCTCAATCAGACTTTTTGCAGATGATTGTGTAATTAAGAAGGAAATTACTAACCATATCGATGTGAGCACGCCACGATCTGACATTCACCGAATAACCCACCGGCGCTATCAATGGGAAGTGAAAAGAAATGCTTTCGGAGTGAAGTACGTTCAATTTACAAGAACTACGAAACCTGAGTGACATTCTTACATGATTAACAATATACCAGTGAAAAATGTTCACACAATAAAATAGTTAGGCGTTTATCATGCACACAACCTCTCATAGAATACTCACGTTGAGGCAATAGCCAGTAAGGCTTTAAGAGCTCTACGATTCATTAAACGATTTTTGCACTCTGCTAACCAGCTAACGTGTGCTTGGGCGAGTTGGTACGACATGATTCACATAAAAAACAGCGCCAAAACGAGAGGACAAGAAAAGAAGGAGACAGACCGCGGCACTGAACTTACAACAAGATTATTTGCCAGAACCGCACAATATATACTTGGGCAGCTTCTAACAAAAAAAGAAAATACAAAACAAACAATACAGAATCCACCTAACAACACCTAGTCATCTTCACAACGCACTATCAGCAGCAGTGTGCTAACGTGCCGAAGGAAATCTATTCTTTTAATGATAGCGCAATCGAAGGCCTGCTGACACAAGCACTGCCCAGCCGTGATCCTATGCGGCTGTGTCCCTGATTTTCAGCTTTGTACCGTCATCAGGCGGCATCGGGACCAGTTGATACGCGAAATTTATGAGGCTTCAGAAATAGAAAGGTGGGCAGTGCTTGTGTCAGCAGGCCTTCGATTGGCGCTATCATTAAAGAAATAGATTTCCTTCGGCACGTTAGCACACGTGCTGCTCATGGTGCGTTGTGAAGAGGACTATGTGGTTGTTAGGTGGATTCTGTATTGTTTGTTTTGTATTTTCTTTTTTTGTTAGAAGCTGCCCAAGTATATATTGTGCGGTTCTGGCAAATAAATCTTGTTGTAAGTTCAGTGCCGCTGTCTGTCTCCTTCTTTTTCTTGTCTCTCATTTTTGGCGCTGTTTTTTATGCTAACCAGCCCACCAAACTTCTTGCATACACAACTTTAGTTCGCTCGAAAATGAAATGCGCCACCCTTATTTTACATACCAACTAGCAACACCTTATTCATAATCTTGAGGTCATTCAAAACAAAGCAGCCCGCTTTAGCACAGGAAAATATTCCCGGGTATATAGCATAACAGATATTAGAACGTAGTTGAAAGAACCTGTTCTAGAAAAACGTAGGCTTATTGCACTGCTGTCTCATTTCCACAGGCTTTAGTTCAGTGATTCATCCTTCTTACATTCACAGATTAAACCAGCTCATAGCATTTTTCCACACTTGGATCATGCTTACAAAATGCAACCCATGTTTGCCTGTACTAACCTTATTTTTGACTCACCACTGTGTCTTGTGATTTATCGTTACAATAAACTGCCAAGCGATGTTGCAATGGAGTGCAATCACGGCACATATGTCAGCAGATTAAAGCAGATGTCGAATGTTGAAGTGTAATACTTTGTAGCTTTTTTATTGCTTAGTCTAACGCCAATATTACCTGAATTATATGCCTTGTTTCATGCCTCGCTGAGTGCTGCATCGCATTACTATATTTTCTGGGATGCGAATTTGTGCTTTTTACTTTTATCTCTTTTGCATGTTCTGTGTAAACATTCCTTTCGTAGACATAACCCTGCAATAATGTGAGTATCAACCCCCTCTCATATACAACGACCACATGGGCCCTTAGGGTGTATGAATAAATGAATGAATGAATAAATAAATCCACTCAAGTTTACAGCGTATTTGGGGCATGCAGCATTGCAGAATGACTTGTTCTTGAGCTAGTTGCATTGGTGCTTGCTAATAATCACAATGTAGAGAGAAAAAACACAAAGAAGTCAGACAAACTCTGTGTCCTCAAGCAGCTGTGTTATGTGGTTCTGTGCGTCAATTGTGCCATTTCTCACATTACGATTATTATAACAGCGTTATGACTGATATGCCGCAAGATCTTCTCACCTGGCTTTACCGCAGCCTAAGTTTCGTGCTCAGCTTCATGTATGCACGCAGACGTTTCGGTGAACAGACATCAACTCACCCAACATTTTACCGTGGTGTCCGTGTATACAACCAGGCAAAATTTGTGTTAGCCCTTGTCTAGCAATCTTCGAAGTAAATTAGAAGTGTGGCGGTTTGGGCTAGTTGGTATGACATGAAGATAGTTATAGTGCGAGAACAGAGTGACGACAACTCCTTCTTGTTCCTTTGTCATTGTTCTGTTCTCGTGCTATAATTCTCGTCTGAAGAATGAAAATATTGACCATACCGACATAATTCAGCAAAAGCCATCAATGGAAGCTTACCAGTCTTCTTCAGCCACTTGGAAATTCTCGCCCAACTTCATCAAATTCCATCCAGCTGTTCCTTCCTCAGGCATAATCGTATACGTCCCCACATACGAACTGTGCAGCGGCCTACTTTCTACAACGCAACAGTGCTGGCGCGGAGGAAGTTGTGTAACGGACCGGGGGACGTGTCCCTGGGCAGACCCGCATCTATATGCCAAAGCCATGGCGCAGGATAGCGGGGCATTGTACAGCGCATACGTGTCATGGCCTTAAATGTTGACGCCTCATGTACCAAGTGGTGATCTAACATCATAAGACTGCGTAGTATTCCAAAAGGTGGTCATGGTCACCATTCTAAAGTTGGATGACATTTAGTTTAAGCGACTAAAATGAGTTCTTGGACTAGCTGGTGCATGGTCGAATAAATATTGACGGTATAAATGAACAAAGAAAAGATGATATGTGAGGTTCAACGTCACAAAACCACCATATGATTATGAGAGACATCGTAGAGGAGGACTCCGGAAATTTAGACCACCTAGGGTTCTTTAACGTGCACCGAAATCTGAGCACATGGGCCTACAACATTTCCACCTCCTTTGGAAATGCAGCCGCCGCAGCCGGGATTCGATCCCACGACTTGCGGGTCAGCAGCCTAGTACTTTAGCCACTAGACCACCGCGGCGGGGCGAACGAGGACAAGAAACGATAACACTGACGCCGACTAACAACAGATCTGTTAGAAATAACCTTGCATCCCAGGTAACTTCAAACGCGAGTCACAAGGGTAATCACCTTTACAGACTGACAGGCGTTCTTCAGTTATGAAGACTGGTCTAAGAAGCTTAATTTGTGGTTATATATTGCTGCGCGTCAGTGTGTCATCTATCATTGTTTATAGCAGCAAATTGCACTTTTACACAACTCTTGATAACTTGAGGTTGTATGAAAATTTGTAAAAGTGATTACACATGTGACATGCACATGGGCTCAAAGTTACCTAACATGCAAAGTTATTTCCAACATATCCGTTGTTAGTTGGCGCCAGTCCTGTCGTTTCTTGTGCTCGTTACTTTGTGCCTCCAATATTTCTCCGACAATGCACCAGCTACCCGAAGAACGAATTAAATGTATATTCCTCACGAATCGAGAACATCAAGTGTTCGTCAAGCGTACTTTGAGGTTACCACCCCATCGCAAGAAAATAACGCACGTGACCATGCAATTACGTCACGAAGTCGTATAACAAGTCACTTTAATGCAAATTGAAATAGCACGGACTCAATGAATCCTAACATCGAGCCACACCATGCTTTCGCACTCAATGCAAGTAAGGAGAGAGATGCGTCTGCCACTTCTTCAGTCAATCTTCCTCAGAATTGTGCTTGGTGCTCATGTGATTCACGAGCGACACACGCCTCGAGAACGCCCTGTGGCACACGTTGCACTGATGGGGCTTCTCGCCAGAGTGCTTGGCGAGATGGACGCGTAGTTGGTACTTTTGAATGAAGTCGGTTGAGCACAGGTGACACACGTACGGCCTCTTCGCCGAGTGGTTGCGCACGTGACTTTCGAACTTTTTGCCCGAGACGAACTTCATGCCGCACATGAGGCACTCGTAGGGAGCCTTGCGCTTGTGGCCCGCCGTGTGCGTCGTCATCGCGAACCTGGTGCCGAACGTGGCCGGACACAGCGAGCAAGAGTAGGGCCTCTCTCCGGTGTGGCGGCGCCTGTGGTTCGCCAGCACGGCGTTGCGAGTGAACCTCTGGCCGCACACGTCGCACTCGAATGGCCGCTCGCCGGTGTGCATTCGCTTGTGGCGCTTCATGTTCTCCTTACGAACGAACTTGTTGCCGCACTCCGAGCACGAGTACCGTTTCTCTCCGGTGTGCGTGAGCTGGTGTCTTTTCATGGCTCTCTTGCTGCCAACATCTTTTTGCAAAGCCGCACTGGTGTTCTTCAGCCTTGGAATCCTCGCCACTCGACTGCACTTTCTTGTCTTTCTTCAGATGGGATGATCTGCAAAACGAAAATGTCAGAGGCTTTTTTCGGCACAAATAAAAAAAAAGTCCCAGCTTTGACGCAAAGGTGAAGCAATGAACGTGATAGCAACAAATTATAAGGTCACGCGCAGAATGGAAAGCAGATCTAAATGTGCCCCGCGTTTCTCGCGCACGAATTACGCACGAAACGTACTCACAAGTACGGATGCAAGCGAATAAGCGTCTCATTTGTTACTTCGCCGAGTCTAAAAAGCGCGCGCTTTTCGCGAAGGGAAACTGCATTGATTGCCGTGACATTTTTGCGCCCGGTAACTACAGCAGAATTGTTCCACGTAAAGCCCGAGGCTAGCCAAGGCGTACGCCCCGCCGCGGTGGTCTAGTGGCTAAGGTACTCGGCTGCTGACCCGCAGGTCGCGGGTTCGATTCCCGGCTGCGGCGGCTGCATTTCCGATGGAGGCGAAAATGTTGTAGGCCCGTGTGCTCAGATTTGGGCGCACGTTAAAGAACCCCAGGTGGTCAAAATTTCCGGAGCCCTCCACTACGGCGTCTCTCATAATCTTATGGAGGTTTTGGGACGTTAAACCCCACAAATCAATTAGCCAAGGCGTACGATCCTCTCCTCCTCGCCACCGCGAGATTAGGGGTGCGTTCCAATATTCACCATAGACGGCTCAATAGGCAGCTAGAAAGGCGGCAATCTTAGGTCTCATTCCAATTCTCACGTACCCGGCAACATATACAGCTCCGAGAAGACCGAATCGTAGGCAAACACGATGCAGGCTACTTTGCTGTCTAAACAAGATGGCAGCTCAGCGAATCACTCAGGTAGATCAGATCTCACCGGAATGGTCGTCTGCACCGAAGCAGACGCTTCCACAGAGGATCAATGTGCGTAAAATTTATTTTTTAAAGATTTTACACGAAATACGGCAGAAAACAGAACTTTTACGCTTGTTTATTCTGGCTTTTTCTTTTCGACACGAGGTGGAGCATCGTCGCGTAAAAGCCATTCAGACGTGTTCCTATTCCCGGACAGCATGGGATTGGTGCTGCCTCCTAAGAAGTCTGCGCAGAATGTCTACGTACTGTCTAAGAATTGGAACACAGCCAAGGGCGCGCGAGGGAGCGTTGCTCCACTTCTCTTAGCCTCGAAAAGTACGCGTAGGAGATTAGAGAGGGCGCCGCTAAGTGATGTGACGACGGGCGCTCATGGCGCCATCTTTTCGGTAATGCCGAAAGCACAGCAGCGATAAATGGTAGATATAAATAGCTTGCTGTTTGAACGGTAAAGAACGTTCTCCGGGGTGGCTAAGTTGTTAACGCCTCGCTTTCACTACGCAGATGTCCCACGTTCGATTGCGCGCACTGGAGTGCTTTTTTTCTTTCTTGCGTTTCACACACAAACACACGCATACACATCACACACACAAATATATATATATAGATATATATATATATATAGATATATATATATATATATATATATATATATATACATATATTTATATATAATAGACACGCGTATGTGCCAGTGCGGCGACAACGAAGCAGCACGAGTGTCCTTGGCCGAGGGCAGAGACGAAGAAGGCGTTGCAGTCTTTGTCCTGTGATCGATAAAGCGTATTTGTTTGACGTGCCTTGTGTGCTCGTCGATTCCGCGTCGTCACACTGGTGGCGGTGCTGGGTAGTCTTAACGCTTGGCACCCTTTCGCGGACCCGACATTCGAGCTCGGAATCACTATTACGCGTCGACACCCCAGTCCACCGTTTTAGTCGCCATCTGCTGGGCCTGGCTCCCGTGCTCAATCCTGTGCGAGAAACTGCCAGCAATCACTTGCCTCCTTCAGCCACCATGGCCACTGCCGCTCCAGTGCACATGACACTACAGAATCCCATAATTCCTGATTGCTTTCATGGTAAGACTTATGAAGGCGCCCAAGACTGGCTGGACCAGTCCGAGCGCTGTGCGAAGTACAACCAGTGGGCAACACCAGAAGACAAGCTCGCGAATGTTTAGTTCTACCTGAAAGGCAACGCCCAGACGTGGTACATCAACAGGGAAAGAAGCTTGGCTATACTTCCGCAACCAGTGTCTTGACACCTTTACTAGTCGGGACAGAAAGAAGAATGCGCAACGTCTTTGGGAAGCTCGCATATTCAGAAACCAAATGAGAGCGTTGCTATGATCGCTGAGGACATGAGCCGTTTGTTTTCGGCAGGGCAGATCCCCAGAAGCCGGAAGACAGGAAGCTGCGGTATCTAATGCGAGGCGTGAAGAAGCAACTGTTTTTGGGCTTGTGAGAAATCCACCAACCACATTAGCTCTGAGTTCAAGAAAGAAGCCACAGCTAATTGAACGGGCCCTACAGCAACGGTACCGCCAGCAGAACCCGGTCAACTTTCGAGCGAGTAGTTGGTTACGGCTGCGGCGAGCCTTTCCGACAACGACAGGCTTCTGTGGGAAGTCATCCGGGAGATTTCGAGGGAGGAGCTTCGGCAGCTTGGTTTCATTCCAGCAACCGAACCGACGCCGGCATTGTCCTTTGTCGCCGATGTTGTCCGGGATGAGGTCTTTCAGGCTTTCTCTTCATCCGCCTATGGTGATTGTGTGACATCTTACCTATGCTGACGCAGTACAATGCCCCGTTGTCGAGCCTTCAGCTCAGCGGACTCCAATGACTAAACCACCACCAACCCTGCAAACACAGCCCCTCCAAGCGCCGACGACTTTCCCAACCTCGTCGATTTTCCCGACAAGGACGAATGCCATATAGCCAACATACGAGTCCCCACAACGTAGCCCAGTAGAGAGTCCACACTTACCCAGCAGCGTCGAAAAACGATTTGGTGGCGTACCGCTGACCGTCGACTGGTATGTTTTCGTTGTGGCGAAGCTGGGCACGTCTACCGTGTTTGCAGTTATCGCGACGCTCAGTATTCGAGATTTCCTTGCTACTCTGATTACGCCTACGTATAACGATCGCGCGGTACAATGACGCCCCTGTGAACACACCGCCACAGAATACAGTAATGCCCGGATCACGTTTACATCTTCAGCGCGGGCCAGTTCCCTAATCGTGGTAGTTTTGCCGACGTCACCAGGAGCACGTCCTTCTAGCCCGCGATGTGGGGAAACTAGACGCAGCGGCTTGGGGGGTAGGGTTAACAATGATAGAAAATTCCGAACAGCCCTATTGCACACAAATGACAGCTCGAAGCCACCGATGCCGAAAGAGACGACAGCAACGACTAATCCGACGAATGAGACAACTGCCGACGTAACCTACGTTATCAGCGCTGACCTCGTCGTTCACATTGACAGCCACCAAGTGACGGCTCTTGTGGACACCGGGTCCCACTTTTCTATAATTAAGCCTACAGCTAGCCAAAAGACTAAGGAAGGTGAAAGATGCCATGGCATGGACCTAATATAAGAACAGCAGGCGGTCAGTTGATGACACCGGTTGGAAAGTGCACGGCCTGAATTTCATCGCTGGTTCCGCCTTTGTCGCCACTCTCGTCATTCTTCACGAGCGCTGTAAACAGTTCATATGGAGAACAGATTTCTTGCGCGAATACGGGGCTGTGATTGACCTCCGCGACAGAAGCGTAACGTTCGCTATAGGCTCAGACACTGCCACTGATAAGGAACACAGCCACCTCACTTCCGTATTGACGATGACGACGGCATACTGCCGCCACGAAGTTGCTCCCTCGTATCCATGCACTGCGACATCTTACAAAACGGTGCTGGCATCGCTGAACACATCAAGGAGCTCACATCTACTAGCGGCATTTCTATTGCCAGGGCTGTCGTCACTGTTATTGACGGATGCGTTGAACTCTTGTTTAAAAATTTTAGCAGAGAACGCCAACACGTAGTCAAAGGCACGGTCATTGCCTGTTTCGACGAACTCGCTCAAATAGTAGATTGTCATTTAGTGGAGGAAGCAGCAGCGTCTGCTATCACTACACCGAAATCTGTCGACGTTAGTCCAACGTTATCTCCCATTGAGCGAAACTGCCTTCTCACGCTGATCAACAAGTTCCACGGCTGCTTGTCATCCACATCAAGAGTTCATCAAACGGCACTTACGAAACACTGCATCATCATGGATTTCGACGCCAGACCCATACCGCAAAATCCTTATCACGTCGCCCCAAAAGAGCGTGAAGAAATTCAAAAAAGGTAAAAACGATGCTGGAAGATGTGTTATTCGGCGATCTAACAGTCCTTGGGCATCACCAGAAGTACTCGTCAAAAAAAAGCGGCAGCTTGTGTTTCTGCGCTCGACTACCGGGGAGCTATAGCAGATCACAAAGAAAGACGTCTATCTTCTGCTGCGTATGATGATTCATTGGATAGACTACAAAAAGCACGCTACTTTTCGTTCATGGACTCGAAAAGCGGCTACTGGGAAATTGAAGTGGATGAGAGAGATCGTGAGAGGACCGACGTGGGGAACTTCCCGACGCCTTCAGACAAAAAATCAGTGCGACGTTTTTTGGGACTCTGTGCCTATTATCAGCAATTTATTGCCAATTTTTCCGCGCATTCCCATAACAATTGACACAGCTTACTCGGGAAAATATCGCCTTCACCTGGAGCGAAGACCAGCAGCAGGCATTTCACGCGCTTCATCAGCGCATGTAAACACCGCCCGTGCTCGCCAACTTCGTTGAAGATGCGCCAACATACTACATACAGACGCAAGTAATGTGGGTCTTGGAGCAGTCGAGAGGACAACAAGGAAAAGGGGGATCGCCTACGCCAATAGGACGCTGTCCCGATCAGAAGCTAACCATACTACGACTGAGAAAGAATGTCTTGCATTGGTGTGGGCAGTCCTGAAGCTTCGTACTTATTCGTACGGCCGCCTATACACCATTATCAGTGATCACCACTAGC